TGTCACTTCTGATTGGGGGAGGGGCAAAAGCCTGGCCTGCCTGAGTGACCTCAGGCAAGTCACTGTCCCTCTCTGGCCAACCTCTGAAGCCCAACCAGCTAAGGAGTTGCTTTCACCAGCAGAGGCAAGAGCAATGACTGCTGGGCAAGGGTTGTCTGGGATGTGACCCAGCTGTTGGCATTACGGCACCCACCCCCACCTGGCTCAGATCCCACGTGGAGAGATTAGGGGAGGTCATCTGGTCCAGGGGGCTGCACTGGTGGGGAGTCATAGAAGGAAGGACGGTGGAGGAAGAAGGGCCAAGCACGTCATGCCTCAAACGTCCACGTACCCTGGCAGGCAGTGGGGAGCCATGGAAGCGTATTAAGCAGGAGGAAGATAATCAGATTTTGAGAAACTGATCATAGCGGGGGAGCTGTGAGAAGGCCTGAGCCATAAAGCAGGGCAGATCTGACCAGGAAGCGGGGGTTGCAGGGGGAAGAGAGGACAGGCCCCAGAGACCCCCTCTGCTGCAATGGGCTGAACTTGAGAAGGGAGCAGGTGGAGGGGTGAGCAGGGAGGGGTCTGAGGTGGGGTGGAGCCTTGGGCTCGTTTGGATGGACAGAGGGGGACCCAAGGGCAGGCCAGGCTGGAGGTGGAAGGAGTCGGATATTGGCTGGCTTGAGTCCGCGTGTCTGTGGGCTTCTGGCAGCAAGTCCAGGAAGCAGCTGGAAATGCAATAGGGTTTTACAGAGAATGAGCCAGAAGGTCAGAGAGGTTGTTTTTGCCGACTTTCTTCCAAAAAGGAAAAGGCCATGTCAGGATTTGAACTCGGGTCTGTCACCCTCCAAAACAAGTCTGTATTCTCATATTGAGGAAACCTCAGTCCCTGACTCTGGGCTTGGCATAGAGCTCAAATGCCTTTACCCAGGAGTCGGGCTCTTCTTGGGGAACGTTGCAGCCATCCCCTGCTGCAGAGCTCAGCAGCCTCAGGGGCTCTGCCAGCAGGGTCTTCACACCCTCAGCCTGCTCTGCAGAAGGGCCATCCCCACCCAGCCCCAGCCTTCCTGGTCTCCCAATGCCAGGACTTCCCTTCTAGCCACCTGGAGCCACAGGCTTGTGGCAGCCAGCGCTAACTGGGCGCTGAGGGGGTGCAGGCCCAGCGCCAGGCAGTCACAGGCTTCCTCTCTCCTAATCCTCACAACAGCCCCTCCAGGGAGGCGCTATTATTATTGTTTCCATTTACAGATGAGGGAACCAAGTGAAGCTTCAGGAGGTGAAGGGCCTTGTCCCCGCTCCACCACGTGGTGGGTGGTGGGTCAGAGAGCCAAGGCTGCTATGTGACCTGGGTAGGCATGGCAGCTCTCTGAGCCCCCATGTAAAGTGAGGCTTCTCTTGAGGGACCCAGCCCCCCAAGCCCCCGCAGCCCCGCCCCTGACTTCAGCTCTGCAGTTCCAGCTCCCAGGACTCCCCTCCCCAATTCTGTTCCTGGTGGCCCAGCTCTCTTGGGAACAGCCAGGCCCGCCCCCTCCCCCTCCCAGGCTGTGCTCCTGGCAGCTCTGCCGCCCTGGGCTCTGGTCCGGGGGTGGTCCCTGGCAGAGAGGAGGGTGGGCAGAAGCTGGGATGCTTGGGCTGAGATGCCGGGCATCCGGAGACCCCCAGGCCCCCACCTCAGGGCCCATTGTGCGCCAGGCTGGGGTGGGTAGGGCCTTTTGGAAAGGGGTGGCTTGAGGTTTTAATCACTTTTTCAATGTTTGTTTGTGTAATTCAGCCCCGAGATGCGTTTCCCTCCATCTGTCCCCACCATCTGCTCCCATCAGGATTTTCCAAACCGTTTGGGACCAAAGAGGCAAGGTGGGGGGGATGGGGAGGCTGGGCCTCTGGGGGGGGAGGAGCCCCCTCCACCCACTTCACTGCGAGGCTTCCACGGAGGGGCCGGGCCTCCCGAGGCACACAGAACTGGGTCCGGATGCTGACACTGTCACTCTTGCTGTATTACCTCGGGCAGGTGACTCCACTTCTCTGAGCCTCGGTCTCCGTAGCTGTAAGTGGCAGTGGTGGTGTTGATTCCTCAGGATCATTGAGGATCAAGTGAGGTGCTCGGCAGATACTCTGTCTCTTTCTGGCATCTCGGGAGCTGTTCTGTCCCTCTTTTGTGGTAGACCAAGGCGGCCACCCCTGAGTGCTCTACCCCCCACTCCCTCCGCAGATGCTGGGGACCCCCCAGACTTGCCTGCTCTTCCGTGGACCTTGCCTTGCAGTCACCCCTCCACCTCTACCCCAGGCCACGCCTCTTCTCCTTTCTGGATGCCTCAGTGTGAGGCAGGACCCCCCAACCATGATTCCAGGGTCACTGGCGCCTCACCCGTGCTCACATCACCCATCTGACCTCTGTGTTCAGAAAGGGGAAGAGCCATGCCCTAGGTTGTCCAGAGTGACACCCAGGCCTCCTGGCCAGCTGCTCCCCCTTCCGGGGCTATATCTCAGGGCACTGGGTCTTGCCAAGGGCCTAGTGTGTAGTGTGGGGAGCCCCAAGCATTCACCTTTGAAGGCTCCCAGCGCTGATCAGGCCCCCTGCAGGGTGGAGGTGGCTGACCAGAAGTAGCCAGCAGAGCCTATTGGGGGCCCAAACTCTGCCTCCAGATCCGCCCTACTCATTTCAGGTGCAGGAAAGGCAAAGGGACCTGGGGTCCCAGGGGAGGAGAAGACCTAGTCCTGCCTTCTGAAGCTCTCATCTATGGGGGAGACAGAATGCAGACAAGGGGTCCCCAGGGCAGGGAACCAGCCACCCTCCTAGAACAGAAGGCAGGGTGGGGAGGAAAGTTCCCTCAGGGTGTAGGGGAAGTAGGGAGGAAGCAGAGAGAGGGGTTGAGCAGCCAAAAATGGGGGCAAACTGAGACCACCCCCCCAACATGGAGAGGAGGACTCAGAACAGGCAGGAAAGAGAGGAAGGGGTGATGGGGGAGGAGCTGAGGGAGTGACTTCAGGGCAGACACCTCTCCCTGACCCTGATCTGAGCACAACTGGCCCTCCAGGCCTGGTGGGGAGAGGGTAGGGAGCTTGTCACTGGATGGGCCTGGGGTGGGGGCTGAGCAGCAAGTCCCTCCCAGCCCCCCATCCTCAGCAGGAGGCAGCTGGGAACCACCCACGCTTGTCTGGCATCTCTCACGCCTCTACTAGGGGTCCCAACATCAGAGCCAAGGCACACAGTGAAGCCCATGTTCCGGAGGGCCCAGCTGTCCCCACCCCATCTCAGCCTGCCTCCTTAGCTCCTCCAGTTGAGACTTCCCCACTTGCCCCCAAGCAGGAGGGACAAAGGCTTGACTCTGAGGACCTGAGAGGCTTGGTCTGGGAACCTGGAAGGGGAGATTTAGTCCGAGCCCCGGGGAGCTAGGAGGGTCTGAGCTGCCGGCCCTGAAAAAACACTCGACTAGAAGGGGCTGTCCGGGCTTCACCTTCAAAGTGGGTCCAGAAGCCAGATCCACCCCTTGGTCATTGCTCACCCTGAAATGCCCCCTGCTCCCCTCCCTTGCCCCAAGTCCTCAAAGTCTGCTTTTTGTTTTTCTTTTAGAGACAAGCTCTTACTCTGTCACCCAGGCTGGAGCTCAGTGGCAAGATCATAGCTCACTGCAGCCTCACAGAGCACTGGGATTGCCACGCCCTCCCTCAAAGCCTGTTCTTGACATAATGGCCCCAGTGAACTGTTAACATGGAAGTCAGACCCTCTCATGCTGCTTAAAGCCCAAGAACTTCCCATCTCACCTGGATTAAAAATCTGAAGCCCTTGGCATGGTCCCCAAGTCTCCTGATGTGCCACCATCCCAACCTCTACACCCCAATCCCAACCTTTCCAAAAACACTTAGCTAGTACACGATGGAATTGACTTTTATATCATGTCCGGTGTTTATTGTCCACTCTTGTAACCCCACTTCCTAGGTAGAACAGTGCTGGCTGCAGAACTAGTGTTTTATAAATACTTGTGGAATGAATAAATGAGGGCACACGGATCCAAGTCCAAGCCCTCCCCTCATTAGCTGTGAGACCTTGGAAAAATCATTTAACCACTCCAAGCCTCAATTTCCTCATCTGTAAAGTAGGACAATAAGCACCACCTCCGAGAGATGGAGAAAGGACAAAATGTAAGCCCAGGATGTGGGGACTGTTGCTGAGGCTCGGGGGGAGGAGAATGCAACCCCGTATGGGCAGGAGGAGCTGTGAGTTCGGTCCCTGACTCTGGAGGGAGCCGTCCCATCTGCAGGGGCCCAGGCACGGCAGAACCTCCAGGCTGGAGATCTTCTCCTGTTCTCACCATCCTGCACAGGGAGGGGCTGGGAAGGGGGGGAAGGGGTCCTTGATTGGAGGGGGGAGTGGGAGGAGCAGTTGACATCGATGTTGGGAGGTGGGATTACCCTGAGAGGGGCTGGGGGATGCGATGGGAATGATGGGCAGGAGATGGGGGCGGGCTCTCCAAGGTGGAGGTGGGGCAGGGGGCGTGTCTGGCCCCCTACAGCGAAGACCTCACAGACTGTAGGGATGGACGCTCCCCCCTCCCCAAAGAGCCCCCCGCTCAGTTAGTTCCAGAGTTGAGGCGCGGGGGCAGGGAGGGCGCCTGTCGAGCCTCCCAGGATCCTGATTCCGCCCTCGGAGCGACGTGCAGCTCAGAGCCCAGGTGGGGATGGGGGAAAGAGGCAGTGGAGCGGCCAGGGATTGTCCCCGGCTTAGGGAAGAGGTCTGTGGCACTGACCCGCCCCTCCATTCAGGCTACCTGAGTCGAGATGCTGAGGAGATGCGGGCCTCTGTCCTCCCCCGCTGGGGTGCTCCCTCGAGAGGGGGCCCGGGAAGTGAGGGCGTCCCCTTCCCTCCCCGGCGCGGGGGCGGGGGCGGAGCCTAGCGCACCGCTCCCCCCACCCCAGGCTGGAGGGGACCCCCCCAGGGGAGGGCCTCCGGGTGAACGCTGCGGGGCGTCTCCCTCCCAGTCCCGCCCGCCCCTCCGGCCGCCCCTGCCGCCGCGCGCCGCAGCAGCGCCGCCTTCCCTGCGCAGTCGGTGTCTCCGCGTCGCTGGGTGAGTGGGGGCCGCTCCGGCAGGGGCTGGGGGATGCGGACGGGGGCAGTCCGGAGCCAGGGGGCCACGTCCAGGGCTCCCCAACCCCGCTGCTCCCGCGCCTCCCGGGAATCCTCCCCCGGGGGGCGCAGGGGTCGGGGACTCCCCCGGGAACACGCGGTGCTCTCCAGGGTCCTGACCGCCGGTGGCCGGCCCCGAGGAGCCGCGTTTCGGCCGCCCGGGAGCGCCCCCTCCAGGAAGGGCCCCGCGCCGGGCGCTCTGCGAGTGCTGGAGGCATTGAGGCGGAGGCTCAGGGCCAGAGCTGGGGAAGCTTTGGGGAGGGTCTGCGGGGCGGGTTTCTCAGGTTCTTCCCATTTGAGGGACTGGAGGTTTTTGCGGGGACAGCATTATCTTCTTTCAATTGGGAGGGGCAACTCCGAGGGTGGCAAGGAGGAGGGGGCACTGGAGGAGCTCTCCTGCCCAGCGCATCTCTCTGCCCCCACCCTGGTGACCCAGTTCTCGGACCTTGAGGAGGGAAGTAAGGGAGTAAGGGACACACTCCCTCACCCCAGCCCTGTGCATTTCCTTAGTCCTTTCCCACACACTTGTTCGGTGGGTTCTCAGCCTGGGTCAGAAGAGGCTGATCTAGAAAGGAGGGGCACCAACTTACCCAGAAACATGCATGTGACACACTGCTGAGGACACACACAGGTCCCCCAAGTGGCCACACAGGCACATTCCCTCACACTGTGACGGGTGCATACCTGGTCACACGAACATATAATGCACACGCACAGACATGGATGGAAACATGGGAGACAAATACAATGCAGAAACCAGGGACACGCGTCACGAATAAGCACACGCACCCTCACACACACGCCCACTCACATGTGCACAGAGCTTCGTGCACATGCACACACAAGGAACCCCCCGCCCCGTCTCACTTGCACCCCCAAGCTGGGAGGGGTCACCTGCACACAGCCCTATGTCCCTGCCCAGAAATGCCTGGCTGTCTCCTCTCCATTGCCTTCCCCTCAGCCTCCACGCTCTACCCCCTGCACTGAGGGGACCTTTCAAGACTAGATTAAAAGTATGTGTTGGGGAGGGTTGGAGGGCTAGGTGTCTCTCTGGAAAAGGGGGCCCCAGCAGGTCTGGAAGGGCTACAGCTCCCTCTCCTGGGACCTGGCAGCATCCCTGGGGAAAAAAACAGAAAAATGGCAAGGGTGCCTGAAGGTCCCACGTGCCACTGGCCATGTGAGAGGTGTCGACATGCGAGTTGGCGTGTGATGGCATGTGTGAGACATGTGCGGCTGTGGGCTGGTGTGTCTTGGTGCACAGGGTATGGGAGTTGTGCGTGGTCCCGTGTGTCAGTACATGTGAGTTGTGTAGTGGAGGGAATGTTGTCATGTGTCCAGGCATGGTGACCCCATGGGTGGGTGTGGGCTGGTATGTGAGTGGCATAAGACCCAGTGTGTGGATGTGGTGAACCATGTAGCATAATAGCTATAAGTATACGTTCGTTTCGTTTACATAGTGTTGTGCATGAGGTTTTTGGCACTTGGGTGCATGTAAGTCGTTTTTATTTATCTAACACTTAATGTAGCACTCACCTACGCAGGCATGGTTCTAAGAGCTTCACATGTATTAATTAATTTAATCCCTACAACAATCCTAGCAGGTAAGTATATTATCACCCCACTTTACAGATGAGACAGAGAGTTTAAGGAACATGCCCTAGGTCACTTAGCTGGTAAGAGGAAGAGCTGGGATTCAAACCCAGGTGATCTGGCTCTGGAGCCCAGACCAGTGTCTACACTATGCTGCCTCTTGTTTGCATACACCTGTGGGGCAGAGAGCAGGGCAGTGTCTGAGCTGCAGGTGCCTTTCATGGTAAGCAGGCACACGTGCAGCAATGAGGGGGCAGTGAGTAGGAAGGAGTAGAACCAGGTCTTTCTGCACCTCCAGGGCAACTGTGGGAGTCGGCCTTGTCATGCCATGGCTGTGTGACCTGAAGCACGTCATCTCTCTTCTCTGAGAACGCCTTCTCATGTGTAGAGTGGGGCTAAGCCCATACTTCCCCTTGGGAGGGCATAATGGCGTGCACTGGGGAAGCCTTAGTGGCTGGCACCGAGAAGGGCCTCAGTAAATGTCAGCCCCCTTCCCTTCCTCCCTCTCCAGGTCTGTTTCCCAGGGAATCTAAGGTCTGGGGAGACAGTGTGGAGCATGTCACAAAGGCAGGGGGCTTGGGTGCAGGCCATGTGACCCTCGGCCAGTTCCTCTCTCTCACTGAACCAAATGAGAGGCTAGGATGGCTGGTGTTAGGGGCCCCTTCTGGAGTGGTTTCAAGTGACCAGGAAGGCCTAATCACTTCTCTCTGTCCCTTTACCCCCTTGGGGACCCAGGTGGGACTTGGCTCGGTGGCCATGGGCAAGCAGAACAGCAAGCTGCGGCCGGAGATGTTGCAGGACCTGCGGGAGAACACAGAGTTCTCAGAGCTGGAGCTGCAGGAGTGGTACAAGGGCTTCCTCAAGGACTGCCCCACGGGCATCCTCAACGTGGACGAGTTCAAGAAGATCTACGCCAACTTCTTCCCCTATGGTGATGCCTCCAAGTTCGCCGAGCATGTCTTCCGCACCTTTGACACCAACAGTGATGGCACCATCGACTTCCGGGAGTTCATTATTGCACTGAGCGTGACCTCGCGAGGCCGCCTGGAGCAGAAGCTCATGTGGGCCTTCAGCATGTACGACCTGGACGGCAACGGCTACATCAGCCGGGAGGAGATGCTGGAGATCGTGCAGGTGGGCTCCTGGGCCCCTGCGCATGCCCGGTGAGGGGCCTGGCAGCTGGCGCCCCCTCCCTTTTTGATCTTGTAGGCAAGTAGTGGCAGGGGCTATTCTTACAATGCCATTTAAACATTTTATTAGGAAATATTTCCTACTTAAAGAAAAGTCAAGAAAACTCCCATATACCCTTTGCCCAGATTGACCAATTCATATTTTGCCACAGTTGCTTTATCATTCTGTGTGCGTGTGTCTGTGTGAGCGTGCACACATGTGTGTAATGTTTCCTTGTTCTGAACATTGTCCCTTTACCCTTGGATACATCAGGATATATTTCCTAAAAATAAGGACATTCTCTTACATAACCCATAATATGATTATCAAAGTCAGAACATTGAACATAGAAACAATGCTATTATCTAATCTACCGATCACATTCCAATTGTGCCAACTGTCTCCATGTCTTCATGGCATTTTTGACCCCAGTCTAGGATCACACATTGAATTTCATTGTCATGTCTCTTTAGTCCCCTCTAATCTGGAATAGCTCCTCAGTCGTTCTTTGTCTTTCATGACTTGACATTTCTGGCAGAGTACAGGCTACTTGCATTTCATTGATCCTCATGTACTCAGGAGAAAGTGGATGCTCAGAGAGGTAAAGGCTCTTGCTCAAGGCCACACAGCCTGTGAGTGGGCCACCTGGCTCCAACGTCTACATTCCACCTGGAAACGTAGCCACCTCCCAACTAATTGAGGGCCCACTAAGAGACCAATACTGAATGAGGTGTTTATATCCATGAGCTCAGTGCATCCATACCCCATGAGGCTCAGAGAGGTGGAGTAACCTGTCCAAAGTCACACAGCATGGAAATGGAGTCAAACTGAGGCTGGCCACCATTCAGAGCTGCCTTTTGAGGGGGCTCTGGACTCCCAGCCAGGAGATCTGGCTTCCAGTTCTGCAGTTGCTCATTTGTAAAGTGGGGGTGGTGATAGTGACCTCATGAAAAGATTTAAAGAGCTGTTATGAATGCCCTTTCTTAGTACAAATGTAATAGTGCTACATGTTAGCTTTATTTCAAAACCTCCCAGAGCAGCCAGATCTCAGCCCAGCATTGAAGACAGTGAGGGCTCCGGTTCCATTTTACCTGTGCTGTTCCTGAGCCTTTACAGGTTTCCTTGCCTATAATGCAGGGGTGCTAAGCCCCTACCTCACATTATCGTAGGGCTAGAGCAAGACAGGGACTCCGACAGAGGGCCTGCATGTGACTGGTACTTGGGAAACGTCAGTGGCTGTGCGTTATCATTGTCTCCTCCTCACAGCCTCTGCTCTAACCAGAATGGCCTTTTCAGCATCCCTGAAATGTGCTGTGAGTGATTCTGCCGCACAGCTTTGTACAAGCTCTTGCCCCCTTTCCTTCTGCAGCTCCCAGTCCTTTCCCTCTGGTCTCTCTGTCCTACCAACTACTGCCCCTTCCAACCATCCAGCATCTGCTGGACTCTTGGCTTTGGCTCCTCCTCTCCCTAAGGGTCTGGGTCTGCTCTCTCCAGCTTGAGTAGAATGGGCTTCCTTAGAATGTGATGTATTCCCTATGCCTATGGCTGGGGGGAAAGCCTTAATGTTTGTCACTGACTCCTGTGGGCCCGGCATTAACTCTGTAGTTGCTGGATGGTCCTGATGGAAGGGTCAGGGTAGCCAGGGTGGTGGAGGATCACTCAGGACTGGGCAGCAGTTGGATAGATGGCATCCAACCTGGAGGGATGTTCTTGTCTTACCATTTAGTGTGGTTGCACTGGTATGCACTGGCAGACCTCAGTCCTGCTGGAGCCCCCAGGGCATCAGTCAAGCCAGCCCCATTCCTGGGCATCCTCAGGATCCTTTCTGGCTGGTTTCTGCTGTCCAGGCCCTGACTTCATTTATGGTGGCCTGGCGGCCCTAGACAGTGGTGCAGACAGAGCTCTGCAAACTCCAGTGCCTGATTAATGACAGGTTGGCTCCAGTGAAACCATGAGCAAGCAGCAATTCCAGACAATTAATCTGGAGGTGCAGGAGAATGGCTGTCACCATGCAGGGAATGGTCACTCTCTAAGTCACTTAGTCCTCCTCAGGACCCAGCCCTATGCCAGGTGGTAGACAGAGTGGAAGGGAAAAGATTGTGCCTCTTGGGTTTCCCACGGTGGTGGGAGAGACAAATGTGCAGGCTGTACTGATCAGCTCAGTGACAGTGGGTAAAGGTGACATCTGGGAGCACTGAGGGACAGGGAAGACCTGAGGATGTGCTGGATGAATAATGACTATAACATGAGCTGCCAATTACTGACCACCCACTCTAACCGGCCACTGTTCCAACTGTCTACGCACATAACCATATTTACTCCTCTAGGCAATCCCAGTGAGGGAGATATGATTACTCCTATTTTACAGATGAGGAAACTGAGGCTCACAGAGGTTAAATACTTGTCTGAGGCTACACAGCAGGTGAGTAGTGGCACCAGGATGCCGCTCCAGGCCCATCTGACTTCAAAGGCCCTGCTGGTCCTCACCACCCCACTCTGCCCAAGCCCACTCTGCCCAAGCCTCCATCCAGCAATTAAGAGGGGGCAGGTTCAGATCCAGTCGCTGCCATCAATTCCCTTTCAGAGCCTTGGTTTCGTATCTGGAAAATGGGGATCTTGATACCTGCTTTTCAGGGCTGATGTGAGTTTAGAAACAGTGCATGTAAAGTACCTGGCACATGGTGGGTGCCTGATAAATTGTGGCTCGTATTAGCATTCCAGGCAGAGGCCGTAAATGCTGGGGAATCTGAAAAGCCCAGTGTGTGTGTTTGTTGTCAGAATCACGCTGCGGGGGGGGGGGCCTGATGGGGGAGAGGTCAGCGTCATGCAGACTGTGAAGTGTCTTGAGTGCCAAGAGAGGGCAGAATGATTTGGACTTGGTACAGAGGGCACGGGGAGGTGCGAATAGCTGGTAAGCAGGGGAGTTCCTGCCAGGTGCCAAGCACTTTATTAGGTTCTGGGGATTTGGGCACTAGCCAGACATCCATGGTCCTTACCTGTATGATGACCAGGGACAATCCTGAAAAGACATAATTCCGGAGAGGTGGTGCCTTCGAAGGAAAAGTCCAGGAGGCTCTGGGCCTGTGTATGCCCCCTGACCCAGCCTGGGTCAGAGGAGGCCTCGCTAAGAAAGCATCATGTAAACTGAGCCCCCAGGAGGAGTGGGCGGCAGCAGAAGGAGCGTGGGGCAGCATCCAGAAGGAACTGGGTGCATGATGGGCCTTCGGGGAGGCCTGTGTGTGAGGGGAGCGAGGGGGTGGCATGCTGGGCTGGGGACGTGGCAGTGGAGAATCTGTGTTTGGAAAGAACTTTCAGCGGCAGCGTGGGGGACAACCCACAGGAAAGAGGCTGGAAGAGACCAGCGCGGAGGCTGAAGCTGGCTCTGAGGCAGGACACGTTTATGAGATGGGAAAAGGGAGGCTTCTTGGAAGAGGTGTTGGTCAGGAAAACATGGAAGATTGAGGCGACCAGTCTGGTCCTTGAGCTCTGGGGCCCGGGCCCGGGGATCCCACAGGCCAGGCCCTGCGTGCTCTGTACTTTAGAGTGGAAGCCCTAGGTCCGGCACAGTGGCTCACGCCAGTAATCCTCTGGGAGGCGGTGGCTCATGCCTGTAATCCTAGCACTCTGGGAGGCCGAGGTGGGCAGATCGCTCAAGGTCAGGAGTTGGAAACCAGCCTGAGCAAGAGCAAGACCCTGTCTCTACTAAAAATAGAAAGAAAAATTAATTGGCCAACTAAAATATATAGAAAAAATTAGCCGGGCATGGTGGCGCATGCCTGTAGTCCCAGCTACTCGGGAGGCTGAGGCAGGAGGATCGCTTGAGCCCAGGAGTGTGAGGTTGCCGTGAGCTAGGCTGATGCATATGGTACTCTGGCCCGGGCAACACAGTGACACTCTGTGTCAAAAAAAAAAAAAAAAAAAAAAGAAGAAGAAGCCCTCCTGCGCGTTGCCTCCGGAGCTGTAGCTCCAGGCGGCTGCAGCCCTCCGCCCGCCCGGCAGGGCCCGGCCGTCCCAGCCCCGGCGGAGGCTCCTTTGCGTGCGTTTGCATAATGTCCCCGCCCCCTCTGGGCCCGGCGCCTCGGGAGCCCGACCTTCCAGGCCTTCGCTATCTGGGTCCAACGCCCCCGACCCCTGCACCCCCAAGTTCCCGGCGCCCACTCGGAGCGTTGGCGCTGCGGCGCCTTTGTTCCCTTCCCACCTGGCCCTCCACGGGAACTCGGCCAGGGCCCGCTCAAATAGCTCCTCTTCTGGGAAGCTCCTTCCCGAACCCCGGCTCCGCACGCCTCCGCGACCCCCACTCCACCTCGCCCCGCCAGGGCGGCAGACGTCAGCGTGCCTGGGGCGTCTGGAACCCGGGTCGGTCCTCTCACTCCCTGCCTTCCCCTCCCGCCCCCCAGGCCATTTACAAGATGGTCTCGTCCGTCATGAAGATGCCGGAGGACGAGTCGACCCCAGAGAAGAGGACCGAGAAAATCTTCCGCCAAATGGACACAAACAACGACGGTGAGAGGGCAGGGGCGGGACGGGGCGGGCGCCACTCCCTCCCTCTCCCACTCCTCGCTCCGCTGCCACCTTCTCCGCGGTCACAGCTCCCCTCGCCCCGCAGGCAAGCTGTCCCTGGAGGAGTTCATCCGCGGGGCCAAAAGCGACCCGTCCATCGTGCGCCTGCTGCAGTGCGACCCCAGCAGCGCCTCCCAGTTCTGAGCGAGAGGATCCAGGTCCCCCCTCTTCCCTGCCTTCACCGGCCCCCTCCCGGCTCTCCGCTTCCTCTCTCTTGCCTCCTGTCCAGGCTGGGGCCCAGACTGGGGGACCCCCCCCCCGGGTCTGCACTTTGGGGGGCCTCCAGAGAAGAGAACCCTGCAGTCCCCCCAGGCCCAAGCAAGCAAGCTATTAGTACACCCCAATCCAAGAGGCAGTGACAGAGAGACGCGGGCTGGCCTGGTCTGCCTGGCAGAGTCAGCCCACCCTTACCGGAAGGAACTCAACCATCTCTCACCCGCACAGCAAAGAGGGCAGACCCCTGCCCCAACCCCCAGGCACGCCCCTCTCTTGCAGGTGGAGGGGGTAGTCATGCCCAGGTGAGGATCCTGTATTTTTATTTGGAGGGGAGAGAAGGATTCCAGGAGTGTGGGGGTTTGAGGAAGCTTCCTTGAGCCACCCTTCCCCTGCGGGAGAACCTCCACCCATCCTGCCCCAGCCTTTGCTGGTCTGGAGGCCATGATGCAAAGGCAAACCTCCCAGGATTCCACGGGTCCTTTAGCACTTGGATGAACACAGCCAGCCACACACAGACCCCCCAAACCCTCTGTGTTTTGCCTCTCTCATACGTGTACACACACAGACAGACGGACAGATGCACCTAGAACCCCGTCCACAGCATCCTGGGTTGGAAAGAAGCACGGCCCCCCTGGCTGAGCCCCTGTCCCTCCCCCATATTCCCCCTCACCCCCCGCATGCAGCCAAGTGGAGCAACTCTGTTCTTTTTAATAACTTCAGAATAAAGTCTCGTTTCAGTGCAGTGGGCTGGATGGCCGGGGAGGGTGTTGAAAGCCCCACTGGGTCCCCAAGGGTCCACTGGGCCCTCTTGGACCAGCTCCAGGAATCTTGGCCTGGTCATGGGGCAGACTTGGTTGCAGTGTCCAGTGGCCGTGGGTGAGACATCAGCTCTCAGATGGTCAGCAGCTCAGAGCTGGTGCAGCTCAGCAGGTCCCGGTCCTCCACAGGCTCTGGGCTCTCCGGAATCTGCAGAGACACAGGAGGCTGCCAGACCCACTGTGCCTGGGCCTGGGTCTCTTCCTCCAGGACACCCAGGGAATGGGAGGAGGGGAGGGGAGGATCTCTGGGGGCAAAAGGGCATCATTACTCACCCCCATGCAAGAGCCAGGCCAGACCCTTGGAGTACCCCGCCCCTCCCCACCCCAGCTCAAGCCCAGATGCCCCTCCTCCTCCCTCAAGACTCATCCTGGGCCCTGGGAGAGCCAGGTGTCAGGTGTGTGACTCAGCTGGGAGATCTGGCCTCTCTGAGCCTCTCCCTTTGCTCCTGGGGAGAAAACTTTTGCCCCACCCCAGTTCTCAAGGTGGGGGCCCTGAACAGAGGGGTGGGGCAGACAGGCCTGAGCTCCCCAGCAGGGCTGGCAGGAAGTAGGGGAAGTCAGGGCTGTGGAGGGGACTTACTGCATGGTGGCTGCTCTTCCCCCACCAGGGCCTCAGTTCCAGCAGCTGGTGGGCGAGCTGGGCGCAGCGCACAGCAAACACGCTCTCCACCATGCAGAGCACTAGTGCGATGGCCCAGAGGCACAGGCTGGAGCTCTGCGGGGCACAGGGGGCAGAGACAGCTGTCTGGGCTTGGGGGCGGAGGGCGGACTTGGAGAACCTTTCCCAGCCCTGTTGAGCACCTGGGTTCCCTCCCGCCCCAGGTCTAGGAACTCACGTAAATGCGCGTGGGGTCGAAGGGACAGTCAGGTGTGAGGGCCAGTAGTTCAGGGCTCCCAAAAGTGCAGTCGGCCAGCAGTGCCCGGCCCTGGGTGGCAAAGGTCACAGCGATCGAAGCCAAGAGGCCGATGGCACAGGTCAGAGAGAGGAGAGCACAGGCCACACTCGAGCTAAACACTGTCCAGCGCTGGGTAGGGGAGGCCACTGGTCAATGGACATCAGGCTGGTCCCCATGGGCATCTCTGGCCTACTGAGGGTCAGCCTCACCCCCTCCAAGCAGGCCAGGCCCTTGGGCATAGCTGCTGCCCTGACCCTACCCCCACAGTCCCATCCCAGGAGGTGTGTAACATACCAGAGGGGTGCTGGGGAGGTAGCGTGACAACACGATGGCTGCAATGCCAGAGGTGATGACCTGTGGGAAGGCTCAAGTCAGCTCTGACCCCCTGCTGCAGGGGAGTGGGCAGGGGGTCAGGGACACCCTTGGGTAAAGATTCCACCAATGCCGACCCTGGCCCTCCAACCCCCCACCCCAACCCCTGCTTAGTCTTGGCCTCATTACTGCCATGGACATGAAGCCACTGCCTCCTCATGGTCCAGCCTTGGAGTGATGTTACTAAAGCAGTCACTCCCTGCCTACAACCTTCCAAGACTCCCCACTGCCTACAGCTGTGAGGCTCAAACAGGAACCTGTGTATCCCGGGGCTACAGGGGCATGCCAGGGGGTATGCTAAGCCACAGAATATATGTGACATATCGCCCAGGAATGGGAAAGATTTTAGAAGAAACTAAGTAACCCAAGCAGCAAGGAACTAAAAAACCAAAATTGTTATATTAAAACAAACCAGGACACTTTATGGAGTAGAATTCAAATCTCTGGGAACATTTTAAATTATTTCAGGCTCTCAGTGACCAGGTCCCAGCCCTGTCAACTTCACCACCCCATCCTGGGCCACTCTGCCTGCTCACTGCCCTGGATGTGGACACCCACACATGGCCTGCTCCGGATGCTGCCACACACACCCTCTCGCCAGGGACACCCTTCCCATCCTCTGCCTGTGCAGATCCTACAAGCCAGGGGTCCTCAAACTTTTTAAACAGGGGCCAGTTCACTGTCCCTCAGACCGTTGGAGGGCCGGACTATAGTTTAAAAAAAACTATGAACAAATTCCTATGAACACTGCACATATCTTATTTTGAAGTAAAAAAACAAACGGGCAAAAACACCTGCATGTGGCCCGGGGGCCGTAGTTTGAGGACGCCTGCTCCAAGCCCTGCTCAGGTCCTCCTCGTGCAGGTTTCCCCAACCACCCTCCGTCCCAGGGGCTGGGATTACCCCACTGCTCAGCCCAGCAGCTGCCCTCTGGATCTTCGGACTGATCCAGCCAATCGTCCTCCTTTCGTTCCCTCCCTGGACTGGGCACAGCTGGACCCATGGGAGGAAGGTGGTAAGATGAGGGTGCTGAGTTCCAGGCCCCAATGTCTTTAATTTACTGTGCAGCCACAACTCAGTGCCTCAACCTGTCTGAGCTAAGCCCCTCTCTGCAGGATGAGCTCCCAGAAGGACGGTTGGCTTTGGTGTCAGACACAAATAGGTTCAAACCCAGTTTGGCTTCTTCCTATCAGCAGGATGTTGGGTGAATCCCTGGCTCTTGGTTTCCTCTTACATAAAAGGAGGATAATAATGGGCCATGTTACTGGGGGCCATGCGGACTGACTGGGTAACCCAGGGCAAGACTGCAGGGGTCCGACCCAGACCCTGTCACTGATGAACCCCCTAACCCTGAGCTTGCCGCCTTCTCTGCCTTCCCCACAGGCTGGCAAGAGGAACACACAATGTCAGTAGGAGTAACGCCAAGCACACCGGACACATCTGTGCCACCCAGGCCTGTCCCACTGACAGAGGCTCCCCTACTCGCTGGGGCTATGATCCCCATCCCCCCAAGCCCTGAGGCCAGCAGGCTGTCTGAGCTTCATTTTGCAGGGGGTGGGGAACAGGATTAGAAAGAATAAGTCCCCCACTAGGAGGTGGCAGGGATGGAATCCAGGTACTGATGTGCGTGGGGATGTTCCCCTTAGGGCTGCGGCTGCCTCTGCTGACAGGCAGGAAAGAGCTTTATAAATTTGAGAACACCAGGCCCCTTCGTTCTCGTGTTAATCACACAGGCACTGACATGCACTCACAGTCATGGCTACTATTTACTGAGCAGGTACTATAGGCCATGCCCAATGCTAAGCTCCTGCTGTTCAGTTCTCCAGAACATTCCCATGTCCATACTTTGCATCTCCCATTCTCTGCACTTGGAAAGCCATCCTCCTTTCCTTTCCTGCCTACTAGTCCCAGCAAGCCACACATCTAGGTTGTGCTCATGGCAGCCCATCTGGGAACTCCTACTCATCCATCAATACCCATCTCAGAGAGACCCTCCTGGACTCTCCCAAGCTGATCTGATGCTCCTTCCTTCTGTCCAATGGCACTTTGGATATTTATTGTAATAATAACCTCAGTTCACTGTGGTGAGCACTAATACTTCATGTGGACAACATCGATCAGTACTCACTAGGACCCTCAGGTAAGCACCGTCACCATCACCATTGTACAGATGGGGAAGCTGAGGCAAAGCAGATGAGGGACTCGCGCAGTTGGTAAGTGGTTGGCCAAGGGTTAGTGCCCAGGCTCTCTGCTTACCCATCAAAGGCTCTGAGAGGAGGAACTTGCTGAAGACCTTTCAAGCCCCCTCCAGCCCCCTCCCGCCAGCCACCCTCCCAGCCTGGCCATACCACGATAGCGGAAGTGACAGAGAGGATGTTAACGGCACAGTACTGCAGAGCCACAGCGTCGTGCGGGGCAGTCACATAGCGCAGCACGGTGCCATGGAGCAGGGCGGCTGTGATGAAGCTCACGTGGCCCAGCACCACCAGCACCAGACCTGTCTTCATCAGCACCTTCCGGAAGTCACACTCACTCAGGCCACCTGTGGGGGACAGCTGTGTCAGGGCTGTGGGTGGGGCTTATCCTTCTGGGCAGAAGAGGAAATCGAGGCCCCGGCAGGAGTGAACATTGAGTCCTAAATATTTCTGGATGACTTGGAGCCAGTAATTTGTCTTCTCTGAGCCTCAGTTTTCTCATCTGTAAAAGGGGTTCATGATACCTTTGTGAGAGGTAAAAGTCCTTGGGAAAGCACACAGTTGGTACTTAATAAAGGATAGTACTCTTATTAGCACTGAAGGTCATGCGTGGCGGGGCTCCAGCTCAGGTCTCTGGATCCCACTATCCTTCCACTAAGCTCCCCATTCACTGATTCATTCATTCAAGTGTTCATCACACAAATGTTCACTGAGTGCCTGCTCTGTGCCTGGGGCACCACAGTGAGCTCAACAGTCACTGTCCAGGCCCCAAGGAGCCACAGTTCACTGGGCAGGGATGGGGCTCTGCTGGGTGGCTAGGGCCTGGCACACAGCAGCTGCTCAACACACCACTGCTGAATGGGACTGCCTCAAGCCAGGTGACTCAGGACAGGTAGCTCTGGCCTCTGAGTCTCCCTGTCTCCATCTGTAAAATGAGAACAAGGACCCTTGTCTCCCAGTGGGGAGGGAGGGTCTATGAGGAGATGGATGAAAGTGGGGCACATCCTGAGGGTGCTGGGAAAAGCAAACTCCCAGTGTAGGGGCACTGGGTGGGGACAGGGTCAGGGTAGGGGGCTGGGGGCAAAGAACACTGGGACTCATGCAGATTCTGAGTGGCCAAGTGGCTGCCCAGCCCCCATCTGCACATCCCCAGGAGGGGGGGGCTCCTCCCTGGGTAGCTCAGCCTGTTCCCTATCTGCTCTCTGAATTTCCCCCACGGTCCGGGCTCCGCCCTCAAGGACACACAGCACCCTGGCCCTGCTGGCCCCTCACTCTAGCTGGCTCTGAGACTTGAAGACCATGGTCAGGCCCCAAATGGCACAGCCCCTTCTTCCTTTAGCTGCTCCTTATGGGATCTAACTGTGAATCCCTTCCTAGACCCCACCGTCCCCATCTGTGGCAGAGAGCATTGATCATAGTTCATATATGGGAGTTCTGCAGGTAAAGAAAAAAAATTTCTAGACTGACTGTTCTCTGGGGCCCTGTGCCAAGAGGCAATCCCCAGGGAGCAAGGAGGGAAGGGGGCCATTCAGTCACAGACTCACTGTGTGACCTTGCGCCAGCCCCTCCCCTCTCTGGGCCCTAATTCCCCATCTACAAAAAGGGGAGGGGTGCGTCCAGCAGGTCTCTGAGACCCCTGGGGCCTGCAGGACCCTCTGGAGCTGGTCCAGGGCTAGGAAAAGCAGGCGATGGCCTGGAACAAACTCCTGAAGATGAACTCTGGCCAAACAGGAAGGGGCATGGCCACTTCATCCCAGGTAGGTGGCCCATCCGCCCACCTACCTGGCAGCCCAGCTGAGCTCAGTAACAACAGCAAGACTTCAAGGACCAAGACTCTGGTCAAACAGGAGGGACAGTGCCAGCTTGGGGCTATGCCTGGAGCCCTGGACAGAGTCCAGGACAGTGCCTGGCTTCTTTATTTCGAAGTTAACTTCTGGGAGCACCTAGCAGCGTGGTTGGCACCGTGCTAAGCATTTCACTCTTAGGAACTAACTCCATTCTCACCATGGTCCTAGGAGGTGGGTGCTACCGTCCCCATTTTACAGATAAGGAAACTGAGGCTCATAAGTTCTCTCAGCTAGAAAGTGGGGACTTCCCAGGACTCTCTGATGCCCCAGAGCGGCATCACTGTGCCCAGGGAGTGGAGGGAGGGAGTGGAGGGGATGGAAGTGGGAGCCCTTAGCAAGGCTGAGGAGGCTGAGGCTGGGGCCCTGGTCCCCTGGTCCCCGTCCCTCTGGTCCCTCTGCGCTCCCTTCTGGGTGGGTGGGGGTTGCTGCCGCCAGCATCTCTGTTGCCACCCGGGATCCAGGAGGGCAGCCACATCCCGCCACAAGCAAAGAAAGTGGGGACGAGGGGCGGAGGGCCACGTGAAGTAGACCCCGCAGCACTCCTCCCTCCAGCTCCCTGTGGAGAAACTGAGGCCCAGAGAGGGAAGTGACCTGGCCCAGGACGCGCAGGCAGCCAGCGGCCTGGACCCCGGGGTCGGGCTCCCGTTGCAGTGCCCGCCCCCGCGCGAGGCTGGGCGGCCGTGGCCCCGCGCGGTCTCCCCGCGGCTCACCGAGGCGCAGACACATGTCGGCTCCTGCGCGGGTCGCCGCGGCCGCCTTCAGCGGGGCTCCGGAGGCTGCGGGCTGCCCGGGCGCCCGGCTCCCATCCTCGTCGCCCGCCGCCCGCGCCCCTTCGCCGCCCGGAGCGCGGGGCTCTGTGGCGCGGCCCGCCTCCTTCCCGTCACCCCGGCGGCGCGCCCGCTCGGCCCGGCGGCGCGTTTGCATCGCGGCCGGTCGGACCGGCCGGGCCGCCCGCGCGGGCTGAGTCAGCGCCCGCCCCGCCCGCCGCGCTCGGCCCATTTCACCGACGGAGCTGAGCTCGGCCCGGACGCAGAGGGGCTGCACGCGGGTCCGCTGCCGCTCTCTGACCTGGGGCGCCTGGGCCGAAAAGCCCCCGGGGTGAAGGCTGGGCGGGGAGAGGGGAAGCGGTGGTGGTGAATGAGCGGGGTCTGCTCCTGAGCCCCCCTGCGACCTTAGCGAGTCACCTTCCCTCCCCAGGCTTGCTTGCTTGCAAAGAACACGGCCCGGCCTGTGGGTCTTGTCTTCCATGCTGAGCAAGGTGCTTGACCTCTCCGTCCTGGGGGGTCTCACTGCCCTCTTTGGAAAATCAAGGAAAATAATCACTGTCCCCTAAGATCATGGTGACACAATATTAGATACAAAAATGAGGTAAGAAAACACTTAGGAAGCTCTCCAGAGTGTCCTATGTCTAAGTGTAAACCTAGCAGGAGCACATAGTAGGAGCTTTACTATTCCTGGCTATGGTGACTGGGCCCCTTTCATGTGCCAGGATGAGACACAGATAGAGAGAGAAATTGCACAGTGCCTGTGTCAGTCCTGCATCCCCGCTGGGAGGTATACCATGATACCATGATGCCATGATGCCATGCCTGGCCCTTTGGTTCAGGGGGTTGACTGCTCACCAAGAGTACCCAGCAGGAAGTGAGGACATAAACAGGAGCCTGGATGTTCCTGAGCCAGGTTCCTATCCGAGCCTGAGTTCCAGAGTGGCCATGTTGTGGCTGCCTCCTTGGGCCTTCTAGGTCCTTGGAACAGGGCTCTGGGAGGCATTTACAGTGGCCTCTGGGCAACATCTGCTCACAGTCTGCCCCCTCACCCCGATGGGCAGTGGTCTGGAGGGCAGAGGCTGGCCTGATGCCCCTGGGTGGGTAGTTGGAGCCTGGCACATGAGCTGTCCACCGAACGAATGTGTGCCTTTCCGCACACCTGTGCTGACACCTACTATGTGTGGTTGAGCCTCTGCAGTTTGGAGAGCACACTACCAAGGGAGGGAGCGGAGCCAGTTCTCCCAGGAAGACCCCTGAGCCTGTCTGGTAACCCCGCAGCAGATGCACTTCCCTGTCATCTGCTGTCTGCAGGGGGACGATGTGCGGGGAGTGCTGGATGGAGAGACAGACTTGTCAGGTGGAAGGGAAGGTGGGCGCAGTTCACTAAGACATCAGGCTGGCATTTGAGTGTCATCCATGGGGACAGCCTGTTGGTAGGGCGATTGGGCAGTATTTATCCATATTGTAAATGGTCAGACACTTGTAATTATGGCCCAGCAATTCCATTTCCTAATAGCAAGCAATGGTGATAACCAAGAGTGATGTGGCCCTGAGCAGAGAAGCATTTTGCTTTTTTTTTTTTTGAGACAGAATCTCGCTTTGTTGCCTGGGCTAGAGTGCCGTGGCATCAGCCTAGCTCACAGCAACCTCAAGCTCCTGGGTTCAAGTGATCCTGCTGCCTCAGCCTCCCAAGTAGCTGGGACTACAGGCATGCGCCACCATGCCCGGCTAATTTTTTCTCTATATATTTTTAGTTGTCCAATTAATTTCTTTCTATTCATAGTAGAGACAAGGAGGTCTCACTCTTGCTCAGGCTGGTTTCAAACTCCTGACCTTGAGCAATCCTCCCACCTCAGCCTCCCAGAGTGCTAGGATTATAGGCGTGAGCCACCGCGCCGGGCCACATTTTGCTTTTTGTTTTATGCATGGCTGTATGGTTGGAGTCTCATAATGAACATTTATTCATGTCTTGCTTTTATTAAAAAGAAAGGAAGAGCCTCCTCCCCGTCATTGCCCTGCCCCCACTCCACCAACAGCTTTGTGATTTTTCCCAGCATCCCTTCTGGTGAGGCCATGTGGTCACTGCAAAGCCACTATCATATCTTGCAAACATGTGTGTGTGTGTGTGTGACTTCTCTGTCAGTCAATGTCAGGTGGTGCCATTGACACTGAGCCTCACTGGAGGCTTCTGGAAGTAGGTTGGGCACCAGACCTTTTAAATGCCTTTGCTTTCTGGATGCATAGATGATGCTTCTCTTTTTTTAATCCTTGGAACAACTCTGAGAGTTAAAGACAATCCCCATTCGACACATGGGAAAATTGAGGCCCAGAAAGGTAGAGGAATTTTCAAAGATCTCACAGCACACCTGGATGGTAGAGCTGAGACTTGGCTCCAGGCCTGGCTGACCGTGAAGGCTGCCCCTGACTTCTGAGTGGGTGTGTTGGGGGATGGGGACAGCCCCAGCCCTTCGCCTGTTCTCTGGGGCCTCTGAGGTGGAAGAACCTGCTTCTCTCTAGACCATAATTTCCCATCCATGGGCCAACCTCAGCGACCTGAAGTTATTGCCACTTCTTTTCCTTATTGCATGAGGCCAAAGTCCACCAGTTCCAGCCACCCTGGTCCCTTGCCTCTACCCCACCTCTGCATACATGGCTTAAGGTTCTGGAAAGAACTAGTCCTCCACCAAGTCACTATGCCATCCTGGCAGCTTACTGCCATTCCCTGGGCCTCAGTTTTCCTATCTGTCAAAAGAGGATAATGATTTTCCTTCCAGGCTTTCCAGATTTCTGAGGTGTAAGTGACTTGAGAGATATGGAAGTGGGTTGAAACCCAGCCAGAGAAATGCAAGTAGCAATTCTCTTCCTGGAACATTTAACGACTAGGTGTGGCTCAGTGCACTCAGCTGGAGTCTGGGTCTGCCCGGGGCATGGCCTCCCCACCTGGCTGCTCAGCCAGGGTGGGGTTCAGGCTTCCAGTCCCTGGACAGCCCCTCCTGGCTTTAAGGAAGCTTCCCTTCCTCCACCCCCATTTTAAGAACTGTTCTTCCATGCAAGAAAAGCGATCAGACACAACCGTGCCAGATTCTATTTTATGTATGTATGTACATATATATAAAACTAAAGACCAACTGCCCATGCTGTCGCAGAGAAGAGGAGGCAGTTAAAGGGAATTTTGTGGCCCGGTGCGGTGGCTCATACCTGTAATCCCAGCACTTTGGGAGGCCAAGGCAGAAGGATTGCTTGAGGTCAGGGGTTTGAGACCAGCCTGAGCAAGAACAAGACCCTCTCTCTACAAAAAATAGAAATATTAGCTGGGTGTGGTCTCAGCTACTCAGGAGGCTGAGGCAGGGGGATCCCTTGAGCCCAGGAGTTTGAGGTTACAGTGAGCTACGATGATGCCACTGCACTCTAGCCTGGGCAACAGAGTGAGACCTTGTCTCAAAAAATAATAATAATAATTTTTAAAATGGCTGAAGTTTTTTTTTAAAGCAAATATGACATGTTTACAATAAAAATTCTGGATATGTGAATGGGGTGTTTGTTACATTATTCTTTGCAATTTTTTATATTTTCGGAAAGAAGTTCATTGTAGAAAATTGCAGGAAAAAACCAGGGAAGTATAGAGAAGAAATTAGAACTGCTCATAATCCTCCCCACCCCCATGGATAACCACCATTTACATTTTGGAGGTTTTTTTTGTGGTTTTCTTTTTTCTACATGTACGTATCATTTTCTCCTCCTCTGAGACTCCTGCCAACTGGTCCTCCTCCTCCACCCCTCCTCACCACCCCCATCTTCACCCTCCTGTCAGCGCTCTTCATCCCGGGACTTGGGTTTCTGTCCTGTGGTCCTGCTCGTCTGTGTGGGTGACCTCTCCAGCCCTTCCTTGACCGCTCCCGTGGCCTTCCTCGTGACTCCGCGCTCCCCCCACAGCCACGCCTTGCACAAAGGCCTCTGGGCAGCGTGCCTCATGCTGAGCCCCACCACCCATCCTCTGACTTCCCGAGGCCGTGACCCTTTCTGGTTTCTTCCATTCGGTTGCCCCCTGCTGGCCTCTTCTCCACCAGGCTCATACCACAGGGCTGGGCATCCGAGGGCCCTGGTGAGATGAGACCCTCGGAGGAACTTGGATGTGGCGGAGGATAGTGGCTGTGGAGACGGAAGGAAGAGGGGAGATTTGGGGTTAGCACCTGCAAAGCCTGTTCTACGTCCCCTCACCTCCTGACTCCTTCTCTGCCTGCTCCTCCAGCTCCACAGGGACCCCACTCCATCCCCACCCTCTCTCTTTCAGCTGCATCCTTCTGTCACCTGTAGACAAACCCAAGTCTCTTCATCTCAAAAAGCACAGCTCCCCTGACTGCTCACCAAGAGTACCCAGCAGGAAGTGAGGACATAAACAGGAGCCTGGAAGCTTTCCATTTCTAGTTCCTGCTTTTCACCCTTGTTGCCTCCTCCTCCACGCTTCTGGAATGAGCTCTCCTCACCTGCTGTCCTCACCTTGCCAGCACCCACTTCCTCCTCAATCCAAAGCAGCTGGAAGAGCCCCACTGAAGTCACCCGTGACTTCTAACTTGGCTGGATCCAGTGGAAGCCTTTCACTCCGTGTAAGTTGTTATCGTTGCCACCCCTCTCCGCCCCCCGCCACTTGTAGAGCACGCCTCTCTCCCAAGCTTCCTCCTGCCTCTCTCCTTGTTCCTTCTCAGTCTCCTTTGCGGACTTTTGGTCATCAGCTCAACTTTTGAATGCTGGTATTCCTTTGTGTCCGTTCTGGTCCCTTTACTGTTCCCATTGGTTGGTCCATGCACTGTCATGGCTCCGATGGGATGAGTCCCAAATCACTGCTCCCAGACTAGAAAGCTCCCCTCAGCATCATACCCAAATATCCCATTACCTCGCCCTGCCACCTAGGTGTCCCAGAGTCACCTTACGCTCCACAGGTGCCAAGTGATTGCTTCATCTTTTCCCCTAAACTGTATTTTCTTATGTTTTCTATCTCCATTGGTGGCATCATGATATACCCAAGCCAAAACCCTGAGAATCATCCTTTATTCTTCTCTTTCTTTC